TCCCTTATATGACCCCCCTTTAAGGAGTTTAGACCATAGCTCAAGTAGGGAAACTCTAAACCCTGACCGCCAAACCCTATGCTACCCTAATATAACCCCAACATAACCCTGTTTGCTTTCTTCTCTGCTCTCCTTGCAACGCTCAAGGCCCTAGACGCTAAACTCTACCCTGAGAAAGCGACCCCCAAAAAGCTCCATTTTGGGAAACCCTAACTATAACACTAAAACCTAAACCGCGCCTCGCAGGCAGTGTGGGCCATGCCCTTGTAGACGCGCCAGTCCAGCGACACGCCCACCTGGGGAAAAGCTTGCTGCGCAAGTTGCCCGTAGATTTGCATGGGGTAAGGTTTAGGGGTTAGGGTTTCGGGTCAGGCTTCCTGCTCAGCATTCAGGTCCAGTGGGCCTCTACCATCCGCAGACCATCCCTGTAACTACTTCCGCTCCATACCCTTAGCCCTTCCCAAGTAGATACGGTGGGAAACCATGACATATCCTCTGCCTGATGCATCCAAAACCGCTCAATTTCCCCATGCAACAAACTCTGCCTCTGCAGAAGCATTATCTCCAAAACCCTTTCTCCGTCCTAAACCGCAAACCCTACAACCCTAGTCCTGGGGATCCAAATCTATAAGGTAGCTACTTCGGGAGGGTTGGAGACCTAGGGTAAGTAGCCACCCCAAACCCCTGCTACAGCCCTCAACGATTAGCTGCAATCCCTCTAGACCTAAAAAAGAACACGATAACTTTCAAAGTTCATTGGGACAAGACCACAACGCTAAATGATAATAGTTCTTAAGGGGATGGGAGTTAGCCTCTGCAACCCTAAACCCTAAACGCCTAAACCCTAAACCCTAAATCCCTAAACCCTAAACCCCTAGACCTAGACCCTAAACCCCCAAACCCTCAACCTTGCGGACGTCCCATCCCGCCACCTGCTTCAGGCGATCGCGGCCAGCCTGGGCCCAGCTGAGGCGCACCACCTCTTCGCCAACCACAAGGGTCGGTTTAAGGTTTGGGGTTTAGGGTTTAGGGTTTAAGGTTTGGGGTTTGGGGTTTAGGGCCCCTCTTTTCCATCCGCCAAGTCGGGTTTAGGGCTGAGGGTTTAGGGTTCTACCCCCTACACCCTAATGGGCTCTTGTTGAAATACTCTTAAAGACGTTCATTGTTAACCTATATTGGGCCCAAGTATACACAAAAAAATGTACCAAGGTTGTTCAACAAGAACCCAGTAAAACCCTAAACCCTAAATCCTAAACCTTAAACCCTAAATCCTATAAATCCTGAAGCTATGTGGGTTTGGGACCTGGGGATGACAGGCCTCACTACGCCACCCCCTAAAGATTCCTCTATAGTGCTTCATAAGGCCTAATCGGTTAGGAGGACCCCCCACCCTGTAATAGTGGCTATAAGGCATAATAAGGATTATACTAAGGTCCTACTATATTCCTACTATACCACTATTACAGGGTGGGGGGTCCTCCTAACTAATAGGGCTCTACATATGGGAGGGCACATAAGAAGCCTGGAGCGCAAGCTACTTAAGTCTCAACTTTGGGAGCAGAGGGCGTTGCTCTACTGTGTTCGTGCTACGTTTGGCCTTGTGAACGTAACGCGTCCCTCTGATTAGGGACCGGAATGTACGGTATTCACAAAAGATACCGGGCGGCTTACAACTTACAAGCGACATGCAGTTTGTAGCTTTTGGCTTCTCATGGGCTCGCTATGTATTTTCCGAGCTAAGTCTAAGGAAAATGTAGACGACGCCAGTTCTGAGAATGCTGGAGCCTGAAATAATCTGATAATCTTCTTGCCGTGCATCCTTGCTTTTTGCTAAACAAACCGGTGGTGAAGCAGGCAGCCTAAACTCCTGCCGGCCGGAGTGTACAAGTTCAGGTGTCACATGAACCATAGTCTAAACTCCCTGTATTCCGCTTAGTAGCCCCTCTACTAGTCCCGTATATCTTCCCTTAAAAAAACATGACCGCCTTTAAGGAGTTTAGACTGTAGCTCACATGCGGACAGAAGTAAACATCTCGCAAGCAAGCAGCGCTGCATTTACTATATGCCCATAATATGGTAACTTAAACTAGTTTCCTAAACAGCAACCCAGTAATGGGTAAATAGGCTATTATTATGGGCACTTGGGAGGTCCAGGTAGATGCTACTCACAGGCTGCCAGGTATGTTGCTGGGAGGCTACCAGAGCCAGGAGGAAGCATAGGCCTGCTAAGCAATGTTTTAGGGTTTAGGGTTTAGGGCTTAGGGTTTAGGATTTAGGGCTTAATTAGGGTTTTAGGACTTAGGGCTTAGGGTTTAAGTTTAGGATTTAAGGTTTATGGCTTGTGGTTTAAAGTATTTTTTGAAATCAGGAGCTCAAGTGAGAGCGCGACAAGAAGCAGACCAGCTGTTGTGTTGGTTCCTCTGCCGCGTCCCCGCTCGACGACAACAGCCCTCACGCGCTGAACAAACATAAGCCGTAGACCTACAGTGCAAACTTTTGCAGGAATAGTTCTAAGCACGCCATGCTGGAACGAGAGCTGCGGTGCGCACGAGACATTTGCAAGGACCCCATTTTTAAAAAAAAGTGTTCACCCACGTGCCTGGTCAGCCGACCCATGGCAGTGAAGTACTGGTGTACTACCTGCAGTGCCGTGCTGGGAGTTTCCTCGATGGTAAAGGGCGCTTATGTGTGCCTACCGACCAGTTTATCTTCATTTCAGGACCTTCAAAAACTGGCCAACAGTGTGTTGAGAGGATGCGGTGCCCCAAGCCGTTGCGCATGCGCTTTTCCTACCTGACCTTAAGAAAGGCATCCAATATCTAAGGCTGCGCCCCCATCCGCGCTAGTCTTGCTTGTGGCTATATAGTCCCCCTTAAGTAGATAGAATATGGGGTATGTTTGTTATAATATACGCAAAGCCATATTCTATCTACTAAAGGGCGACCATAACTCCATAAACCATATATGACCGCAGGGAGTCCCATTTTAAACCTCCTTACTGGGTGTCCCCCGAACCTACACTCGAAACTTTAAACAACATGGAAGCCTTTATCTCATCGTCCCTTAGCCTTAACGTCCCTTGGAAGCCCACCCCTTGAACCATAAACCTGAAACCACAAAAATCCTGTATCCTTAACCCGGATCATGTTAAGTCCAGATTCTGGCTTCTGGAGAGGGCGTGAAAGTGCGTGCAAAGGGCAGGTAGCCAGACATGCAAACCAACCCACCTGGTGACTTGCGGCGCCCGAGGAATGGAAAATCAAATGGAAAAGCGCAAGAGACGTGAAACAAACCCTCGTGCTTTATAAGGGTATATGGGGTTCAAACGGAAACTGGGATTTATGGGTGTATACAGAGTTTAGGGCTTACCCACTGGTTGTTGGTAAGGAATGAGATAGCGGGGCAAAGGACTATATAGGGCCTACTGATATAGGGATCGACTAGTGATGTCCATCTATACTTGGAGGTCCATTTAACTGAGGGACTGCCCACTGTAAACCTGCGCGCTTCCCTACTGGGCATTGCACTAACTGGCCTTGTGTGGGCCTACAATGATGAAGCCCGCAAGAACTTAGTTTCTTTCCAAGAAAAAGGGTCCACCGAAAACACCCCCCAAATTGCGACAATGCTTGTCAACGGGACTTTCAACAGAGAAGATCCCAAATGTTTGTAATCCCACGTAAGCTACTTCGACGAGCGACAAATTCCCATGAACGAGAGCGAGATCTGAACCCTAACACCCTGAACTCTAAAACCCTTAACCCTGCAACCCCAAACCCTTAAAGCCCAAACCCTAAAACCCTAAAACCCTAAACAGCTGTAGAAAGACCCAGGTGTGAGTCTGTAAAGGGAGGCATGTTCATCATTGGGTGATAGGGTTTAGGGTTTGGGGTTGTCTGGATTGGCCCCTGCCCTTGTTGATTGAAACTCCCGTACACATGTATCAGATATTCCCCCAAAACCTAAACCACCTTTGTGCAAGACTCACAGAGTAGATCCTCATTGCGTGCTGGAACTTTAGCGATACTGTTGATACTGAAAGTCCTGCATGACCTTAATATATTGCAGTGCCGCTATTCCCGAAGTTAAAGGCGCTTAGGGTCATGCAGGGTTTTTAGTGTCCGCCGTAGGTATTCAAAAAAGCGAAGTCAACTTTTGGAGGCGAAGTTTGCGCAACAGCACTGCAGACGTCTTGAGAGAAGCTTGGAAGCTGCTGAGTACTGGCAACACACAGTTGGCTTTGCCGCCCTCCTCTAATTAATGAAACCGCCAGCGACAAATCTTTGCCACAAAAGGTCCAAGGAGCCTCAATGACGTATCATCTGGGCCCAAATGAGTGAGCACGTAATCAGAGCAAAAGTTTTCAACCAACTCTGACAATCAGGAACAAACAGTTGAAACCTGAAATCCGTTAAAATCTCGTTCAGCAAGCCAGACCATGGTGTCCCAGACACCCCGTACAATCATAAATCTTGTAACCGGTGCTGTTGCTTGGGCAAGTCGCCCAAGCGGTACGTGCGGGAAAGTCCGGTGTAGAGGGACAACGCGCCCCCCTGCGAGAAGCCAGCCACCACGATCTTCTCTAGAGGAATGCCATGAGACCTGGGAAATTCAAAATTCAATCTCTAAACTTCTGGTTTATAGACCCCGGAAATTCCAAGTTTAAACTGCCAAGCAGAAGCAAGACGGAGCTTCGGAAGAGTACCAGAACAGCAAGCCCCAGCAGAAGGAAGGTTCAGACACGCGATAGGTATCTATCCCAAACCCCAAATTGACAACACCAAAACCCAAAATCCTGGTTCCTCATCTTCGGGTCAGTTTGGGTAGTTTGAACTTTTGGTTGGTGCGGGATGTCGGGTTTGCAAATGAAGGTTTGGGTTCTGCGTTGGAAACTTCTTGGTGGTCATGTAAAGACTTAAAGAATATTAGTTATACGGACTGCTGGGAGGGATTCTACATGGACTACCAAAAGGAACACAGTCCTCCACACCCTACTAACTGCCAGTTCGTGAAAAGTGCAGGACTTGAATTGTTGCCGGGCAAGTCGGGAGCATTTCTCCCGACAGGGCCATTGAGTACTGTATTTTCCTTACCCTATCTGCCGACGAAGACCCTTCTCAATGCCTTGTAGTTATTCATACTTATATTGAGAAGAATGACAGTAATATTAGTAAAGTAATAACCGCAATAATAAAATTGTAATGATGATGATACCTGGCAGGCCGACCACCACATGACAGTCTTAAGGGTCGTGCCTCGTGCCAGGCATACAGAAGCGGAAATGTCACGATCAAGCAGTGACTGCTGGAGCAAATCCACTATCCTTCATCACTCTTTCCATAGATGGAGCTCGAACATCCCGCCAAGCTTCACTGTTGTGCCAAGGAGCTTTTGTTCCTGGATCAAAGCTTCCACAGTGGCGCAGCTCTCTTCCAGCCCTTCACAATTCTCATCCGCCCTGTCCTGCTTGCAAAGTCTTCACTACAACAAGGACCCATGGCTTTCTATGACGTTCTCATTAGGGATAGACTCTGCTACATAGACTTTGCTAAGAACGAGTCAGTAAACACACATCAACATACTGGCCCTACTGGAAGTTCCTAATTGGGCATCCTCCGTTTGCTTTGAACTTCAAGCTGTAGCAGACCTGGCTGATGGGGCCACACTGACGCTTGGCATCTATGGCGCAGGCAAACTCAAGCCCCCAGTCTATAAAGCATGACCATACCTCTTTTGGGTCCTGAGCTCAAGCAGCACGTACTCAGGGCTATTTGGAGCTCTAAAGAGATGTCAGTTGTGAGTGGATATGGCCCCAAGCGGATGTGGTCCTCCAAGCCTGCGATGTCGTACCTGGTATGTACAGGATGGAATCTGCAAGTAGGTACTGTGGAACAGCGTCTTATCCACACACCCAAAGAAACAACACATTGCTAAAGGCGGGCAGATACCAGCTTGGCATGGGTAAGCCCCCGTTCAGCGTCACTGGTTGCACTGGGGCAGTTGGCAGGACGAAGCGCGTGTTGGGAAGCATGTTCCTGGGCCAACTTCTCAAAATACAGCTGGGGTCGGCGTGCCCCTATGAGAATTAGGTTGGTTTGGGTAAGAGCACAGTCCATTCAGATTTTAGTGTTCAGGGATAGCCCAGGAGTAAAGCAGGTGATGATCCTACATAATTACGGTGTCAGGCAGGTTTGGATGCTCAAGAGTAGACAATGAAAAGTATCTTCTGGTTTCAAAGGCCAGTATCAGTCGGGTTACTCAGAAAACACAGGCGTGACAGCTCTAACAGGAAGTGCGAATAATAAAAAACCTCGACTCCCCAAATCATTCTCATGAACAGTAGTGGTATGACTATGACTATAACTTTTATTCAGAATTACTATCCTTGTTACAATTGCTGCTACAAAATAGTAACTACTGGTCTTACCATCGCTATCCCAGCTGCAGCAGGACGGAGGCCCCCCCTGCCCAACCATGCGCCGTGTCTCCCAAGCCTTAGTTGAATTGAGTCCTGCTCCCACCCATTCACAGCCTATAAGAAGGGTCATGTTAAGGGCTCTATATAATTATCTTATGAAGACTATCCAGCTGTTAATGAGTGGGGGCAGTACCCAAGATGTTGGTCCCAAGCTCGCTAATCTGAGATTGGAAAAATAAAGGGGGTTCTTCAAATTAAAGGTATCTTTTTGGTGGTCCCCATAATCAGGATTGTCGGATTTTGGGGTCTCTATTGGCTCTCCCTACTTGGGGAAACTACCAAAGGTTTCGTATAGGTTCAGATGGGAAGTGGGTGGATCTTTTGCTATGACTTCGGAGAACATCATTCCCACTTCGAAAGGACATGCTGGGTACTGCCCGCCCGGTAGGCATATGCAAGGATGTATACAGAAGCAGTAATAGTGAAGGGTTGGGTAACCTTCATGCGACGGGAGCAGTACCCAGAATTCTAGAAAACTGAATGCTAGGGAACATTCTCCTACAAGATGATAACCATTACACACATATGCTATCATATAATCGAGTACCCCAACCCCCTATCCAACCTGTCAAAACCTTCAAGACACAACAACCGCAAAGCTGGACCACAGCCGTTTTCAGGTACAAGTACATAAAGATGTATAAACACGCACGCAGAACCCCAGACTCTCAACCTTCCCCACCCTCCCGAATTTTAAGGTCAGCCACACACACACACCCTGGAATCGCGCACAAATAGTCCCGAATGCCTCAGTCCCTGCGGGACCCCTCTCATACCCAAAGACCCACTCCAAAAGCAAACTCCACGCCCTTAACTCCAAAGCCCTGAGCCGTGAACCCCTAAGCCTTAACCCAAATGAAGCCCAGCCCCAAGCCCTAAACCCAAACCCCCAAGGATCTACACTCCAAAACCTATGCAAAGTCCCAGTTCAAGCTGTGGACCGTGGAGGAGGATTACTGCTGAGGACGCGTCATCCTGGCCAAGCTTGCATATGTAGATTAGAAGGCGCTTGTTTGCGAGGGGGGGAGGGTGAGTGCGTTAGAGTTGGAAGGGTCTTATCTTACTGGTGGTTAGTAGGAAATAACGGAATACAATTCGCATATGCTCCCTACACAACATATTCCCTTATACCCTACCAACCTACAGTAAGTTGAGGATTCACGGTGTGAGAGACTCAGGGCTCTGGGAGTAGACGAGGCTTGGGGTTTGAGGTAAAGGAGCTGTTATGGTGAAAGTTGAGACACCCCCTAAACCCTAAACCCTAAACCGATTTATTCTAAGAAATCCCCATGCATCTTCCCGTTTCCCTACTAACACTGAACCCTAAATCCTAAAATACTAGTTTCCAATTTCCATTATCCCTAAACAATTATCTACTATATACCCCTATATTCCCTGATTCCCTGCTAGCCCCAGTAAAGCCCATTGTCCTTGCCCAATCTGATGATGGGAGGCTTCGTGTCATCGAAAAAACCGCGCCAGGATCTGCGAAACCCTGCACCTTCACACGCATTTGATTGAACTTGTTGATATGGTAGGTTCTGGGCCCCAATACTTAGAAAAGCAAAAATGGCCCATCATTTCGATTACCCAAGATCTTCGTAAGGCACTTCATTAATAATTCTGAGCATGCAATCACAAGTGCGAAGTTCCAACCTCAGAAGCAAGCAGAGAGCAGGACGGGCAATAACCGAAACCCGTCATTTTCACAGGGGGCAGAAGAGAAACCACTTTAATCTTTGCGTGTTGCGGAAAAGGTGGAATCCTCTGAAACAAGTTTGGGTCGGGGTATGCTTTGGGGTGTACGTTTTGGGGTATGTTTCGTATGTAGCCTGCTCTGGTTTGAAGGGATGTGGTGGGGAGAGGTCTCTGGCATGTTTCGGAGTACGTGTGGGGGCGGGGGGGTATGTATAAAGGCCCATAGCCCCCTTATGTTTCGAGGCGTCAAGGTACCCTCTTTGCTTATTGACCCGAAGCCCTAAACCCTGAACCCTTTCTTTTCAAGGAGCCATTCAGATCCTGGCCCTTTCAGAGATGACTGGTTCTAGCAGGAAGTTGGAAGTCTTAGGGCCGAGGACCCGTTCCAGTGCCTCAAGGCCCACGGAGCTCAACTCTAAAGCCGATAAACCTTACACCCTGCACCCAACAACCAAAGCATACCAATACATTAAACCACCCCCAAAAAATCCAGCGGAAACCTGCGCCCTGCCTCCAGCGGTGGCCCGGCACTGCAGCCGTATGTATCGGCCCAGGACAGTAGCCATGTCGGGCCCGACGAGATGAAAGGGTTTAGGGTATTGCTTAGGGTTGTATGGGCGTTAAAACCCTAAACCCTTGTATGTTGTTATAGCAGTTATTTGTTTTTTGCGGATGTACAGGGGACATGTAGGGAACATGTAAGGTCCCCTCCAGCTTGGCTCGAAGCATGCCGGGGTTTAGGGTTCGGGGTTGGGGGTTTCCAAGGCTGGGGTTGGGGATATAAGGTTAAGGGTTTAGGAGCGAGGCTTCGGATGTAGGCTGTCGTTTGAAGTTTTACTTCAAGTTATGGGTAAGGAATGTGAGGAAACTACGGGTCATTTGTAGAGCTAAGATTTACGAAAGCTTGCTGAGCAGTGGCAGAAGCAGCGCTTCATGACTTATCATTCATCGACGCTTACAGGCAATGAGTGTCACAGGGCTGCAAGTTCCATCCCTTAACCTCGCATAGCGGAATATGGAGATTACTCAAGAGGATAGAACAGCCAACAATTTCTGGAGAATAGGTACCAAAAGTTTTAAAATCTACCGCATTCTATGCCCGCGCGCTTTAGGCGTCAATGCCCCCAAGCCGCTTGGAGTTGCACTTTTCGATATTCAGCCCAAGCTACACAGGCATCCTTGAAATATGGAACTCATTTGAAAGCTTCTCAAGATAGGGAGCCCTATCGACCGCAGAGGGTATATGTGTGCATATATGCATGTAAACATATATGTACATATATATGCATATATATATATGAATGTATACATATATATATATACATACCTGTGCTCGCCACCGACCCCCCTCCCCTTCAGTGCTGTTAGTTGTTAGCGTATCGATATGAGGATACGATGTAAGAGAATCCAGAATTTAATGCCAGACCTTTGACTACGGATGTGGTGTCCATATATACATATATATATATATATGCATATGTTTGTATGTACTTTTGGATCATAAGGGTTAGGGGGGTCCTACTTGGGGATTATATAAAGCCTAAGGGGAAATGCAGATTTGGCAGTTCAACTAGCCCTCTGAAAACGAGTATACCTGGACCTGCACTTGGCGACGAGCAGGGTGTAGGGAAACATCCACACGCACGCACCCCCAAACCCTACATAGTGTGGATATTTCCGGAAAAGGTCATTTGGGCAGCCTAGCCGCGAGCAACCGGTCCTTGCCAATCAACCTCACCTGGATACTACGAAGCGAACCCATGGGAATATGTATCATCAGGAGATGTGGAGAATCCACATAGATTCCTGTGTTGCAGTGGTACGGCCCGAAGCCCACAGAACCCATAAGAAACCGTCGATAAAACAATTAGAGGGGAAAACAAGTGTGGAGAAATATAAAGCCGGCCGCGTCGCAGAGCCGCGCTAGCATTGCGGCACCCCTGCTCCCGACTCCCGACCTCAAACAATAGTTTCAGACCACTATGTTGCTCACAAGGTGAAATATACTACCCCAAAATGTGAATTTCTCGCATATTTGATAATTTGTATAAATAGGGAAACCCCAATATATCCCCAAAATGTTATACTTCCATGTTATAGTGACCCCCAAAATGGTACCCCTACCCTTTTGGCAAACTCAACTACGTGGCACTTAGGACGCTAACTTAGGGTTGACCCTTAGGTACCTATAGGAATATAAAGGAATCCCAAAGGGTTAAGGGTCTAAGGTCCAAGCTAAGTCCCAAGGAGTCAATATCTTGCATATTTCAAGATCTCAACAGGCAGGCCTTGAAGTGCTGTGGTGGTCCAACAGCGCAGCCATGGACATGGTAGGGTTGTTTAGGGGTTTAGGGCTAGGGTTCAGGGTTTAAGGGTTTAGGGTTTTGTATAGGATGACTGGAAAAGCAAATGCAAACTACTGTAGGACAATAAGGTATGTATTGGGGCCATACAGGACTTACAGAAGAGGAAATGAGGATGAGGATGATGCTGTACGCACGTGATTACTGTTTTCATGAAAAGTCAGGGCTCCCCCGACAGAGCAACAGCATGGTATAGCTGGCTTCGGACCTTCTGAATCTTTGTCTGGCTGCCCGCCAAGTCGCGGGCTGAGTACTTTTATCTATTGCCACTCTCTACTGTATGCATCTTCCCCCCTGAGTAGCGTCAAAGTCCCGTACGAGAGATGCATTTGCGTACCAATGGCATGCAAGCAAATGCTTGTCCACTCCGACCTTCATGAAATATGCGCCACATATTCCACACATAATCTTGGTAGCCCCGAACCCCCGAACTGCCGAACTCCTACAACGATACGCCCTAAACTCCCACAACCCCATACCTCTCAACCCCTAAACTTTAGGGCCTAAACCCTTGCTATGACACATTGCCCCTAAGGAAGCCCCCTGAAACTAGACTGAAGCCCCAAGCCCCCAAAGTCCTGCAACCCAAAGCCTCAAGGGGTTTAGGGTTTAGGGTTTTATTTTAACTCTAAAAAGTACACCATAAACAAACCCCTCATGGTTTCTATATCCCCTCATGGTTTCTATATCCCTCAATCTATATGAGCTAGAGTCTAAACTCCTAGTATTCCCCTTAATAACCCCTTTAGTAGTCCCCTATATCATCCCCTATATAAGCCCCCTTCAAGGACTTTAGGCTATCCCTACCCTTAAACCCTAAACCCTAAAACCCTCATACCCTGAACCTTAAACCATAAATCCTTGAACCCTGAACCCCTAAACCCTAAACCCTTAAACACTGAAGCCCTAACCCTTAAACCCTAAACCCTTAAACCTTAAAACCCTAAACCCTAAAGATTTAAACCCCAAAGAACTTTATGGCACAGTCGCTGCCGTAGAAGGCGTCGCATGCCAGAAAGCCCCGTGGCCAGAGCCTTACTTGGAGGGTCACGGGGACTTGGTAAGTAGGGGTTCCTTCATAGGTACTTTGGGTCCAAGAATATACTATGTAGCTACCTGGACCCTCAATGTGGACACTTATCCCAGGGGGTAGGTATACGGAGTGTTGCTAGCAAGACTGGAACAGTATCAAACATGATACCGGTTTACTCCTTTTTGTATGTATCAACAACGAACAATTGAAAGTAAGGGCTAGCGAGCTATGAGCGGGAAGAATCTATGCGCGAGGAGAAGAAAAACCGCGATGCGGATCGCAAAACTCTTAAAGACCCACACCCAGAGCCTAAACCCGAACGCCTACAAACCTTTAGAACCCTTAATCCCTAAACCCCTAGACCCCTATATTCCTAAACCCTACAAAAAAATAAGTCCAGGCAAGCCGCAAAGACGTTGCGCAGCACCGGGAACTGCCACCGAAGGCTACGGAAATCCATGATCTGCCTTGAGTTATTTAGGGTTTAAGGCTAAGGGGTTAGGGCTCAGGATTTAGAATGCGGGGTTTAGGGGTTAGGGTTGAGGATTTAAGGTTTAGGGGTTTAGGGTTCAGGGGCTTAAGGGTAAGTTGCCTTGGTAAATATGGGGCTAAGCTTCGGGTACTGGGTTGCTGATAAGGAACTGAAAATGAGTAGAAAAAGCATCTGGTCTAGGAGTATGGTTTGCTCAGAACTTTGCGCAGTTACGTACCACAATGGAGAATCAAATTGAAAAGAAACAACCTGAAAACCAGGTAGCCTCTCGAAAGATGTTGACTCATACCCTATGGACCGAGGGGGGTGATCCACGAGATCGCAGTATGCCGCTGCTTATGAGCCTTCGTGCATGAGGGGATATGAAATCAGAAGACGTATGATGATACAGTGCTCTGGATCGGAGTGTGGAACAAATGTCCGCGCGTCCAGGCCATTTTGGGAATTGCTGCTGTGTCCCAAAAGCTGTGGCTTGTGCTCAGCCAAGAAAACCATTGGTCCGTGCCCCTAAGGAAAAAGGGGTTGATCCAGAGCCACACAACAAACAACAAGATGCTTTGTATAGCAGCTATGTATATAACATGAGTTCTTTTCGGCTCGGCTAGCCTGGGGCTCAGGCTAAATGCTCGGTTAGGGCGCTTTGTTTTGGGGAGAAGACTCATGGTCTAGGTTGTGCTGTTAGCATCTTGGTCGACTTGGTGGTGAGTTCCGGAATTGAGGTTTCGAGCTCATATCCTATTATGCCATTTTGTGAGGACTACCATAGGTAGGGATCCATTCCCCTATTCCCCCGGCACCCCGACGCCCTGAACCCTCAAGGAATGCGAATCATCTGTTGCGCAGTTGGGATGATCAAAGTTGCTGAGAGGCACCTTCAGCCTTTCACGAGGCTTAGGCTTAAGTCCTACATCCTA